TTTGTGGAATATTGTGCTTAGTATTTATTGGCAAAGTAAATAACACAATAGCTAAGCAGACGTAAAAACTCATCCAGGCAGCATTTTTTTTTTTCATGGTGCCACACCTGTTGCTGCTGCTTTTTTTCTGTTTGATCCAAATTATGGTTACACTACTTTCAAAATTGTTATTGTTAGTGATTTTTAATTGTGCATACCTGCAAATATCTAATTAAAACTGTTTGATTATGCCACACATGCTACAGCCTAGTTGAAAACGCTCCAACTTGCTCAATAGCTTAATTTTGATCTTTTCTTTATTTTTTTAGAATGTACTAATACACATTCAGTTTCAATATTTGTTTTACATTGATTAATTACAGCAGGGTAAGTAGAGTCAAAAAACAATGATAGTGTCAACAAACCATATACTGACACAGGTAGTATGAGTACAGTCACCATAGTCATACATCATCGAAAATGGGTGGATTATCAAACAGTAACTCACATATTTTCAATATCATTATATCATCATAATACAATATATAGTACCCACAATTAGTATATAGTTTCATGTGCAAATATAATAACAGAACAAGGACATAGGTATCAAAAAGTGACATTGCACTAGGACTCCCAAAACTTTTTCCACCTCTGATTTCCCCAGTGAAACGCCCATTAATGAATAGCTCAAGTTTGTATTTTTAACCCAAAATGCATAACCTTACACTTCTCAACATTAAACCTCATCTGCCATGTAGATGCCAACCCCCCTATTTTATCCAAATCTCATTGTAATATTTCTATGTCTTCTGTTGCATTTACTACCCTACAAATGTTGGTATCGTCAGCAATAATTGTAATATTCCTATTAATAGCAGTTAATTCAGAGATTGAACAGCAATGGCCTCGAGACAGAACCCTGTGGCACGCCACTGTCAACCTAGCACCACTTGGAAAATCAGTCATTTATTGATAACCTCTGGACACTTTCACTTAGCCAATTCTCTATCCAAGTACACACCATTTCATCAATGCCCAAAGATTGAAGCTTGTAAATTAAATCTTTGAAGTACCGTATCAAATGCTTTTGCAAAATCAAGGTACACTACATCCACTGGCTTTCCTCTGTCTAGGTTGCCACTCACCTCTTCATAGAACGCTAATTTGTAACTTAGTTGCAATTTCCTACCTTTCCATTGCTGTTCTGAAGAAAAGCTGTGCTTCCAGCATATCCTTTCCAAACTGATCCCTGTATAACAGGGTCTATGTTCTTCATATTCATATAGTGGGCTTCCTGGGTTATAATATGCAAATAATATAATTATAATATTGCAAATAATATGTCTGCATCCCTTTAGTAGTAATTGACCCTTAGGGAGTATCTCACCAAAAATGAAATTCCTATTGCAAGGGATGCCAAAAATTCTACTTGTTTCTTAGTGCAGACTTCTGAGAAAATCAGCCAGCCATTCACAGAAGCAGGAAGTGACATTTCTGGGGGTGTTCCGTACACCAAGTGAGTACAGAACACCTCCAGGTTGTCATATAGCATTGATGTTTTGTAGGAGATTTAGAGCATTACAAAGGTTGTAATTTTTAATAACATTAAATGACAAAATGACTTGTGCAATTATATATACTTTATTTATTTTTAAGGGTTATTTTTAATTTTTATCTTTTGAAAGTGGAGTTACTCTTTAAGCCTTTCTGGAAGAAAAGAGGCAGAGGTCTCCACCAAGATGCATATTTGGAACAGATGAGGAGTGAGAGACTCTTTAACCCAGGGGTCTCAAACTCAATTCAGTCAGGGGCCACTGGACACATTTTTTAGTCCCGTGGGGGCCGCTACTATATACGGTACCAGTTTTAATGTATGCACATGTTACAAGCGGCAACTGTCACCGATTCAAATTAACCCCTCCATCACTGAGCTAGTTTTCAGTTTCTGTTCATAAATGGCTGACACACTTTTTACATTGTTTCTGTGTGATTCTTCCACAGCAGTAATATACTTTCTTACTAAATGTACCCACACATATTATATATTGTTTTTTAGAGGACAGATAGGGCTATATAATGATATCAAACATGTGTACTTAACGCCTCACTTAGTTTGAACAAAATATAAAAAAATTAGGAAAAAAACTAGAAGAAAAAACTTTTTTTCACAAGTTTTGATTATTATTATTATTTTTTTAGAAATACTTTTTTTATTTTTGGCTATTATTAGGCTGCTCCAAACTAAGGAACAGCTAATAAAAACCTTAGAGACTGATCCTGACAGCATGTCAGATTCAGATCTCACTATAAAAGGTCTTTGATCGGCCCAGACGATCAGAAGTCTGATACATTTCACTCAAAGAGATACATTGTATCTCTTTGGTGAATTGCATCATAAACATCAGGCTATCGAGCTGTCAAAACGAATAGCAGAGAGGTGACTCACTCTGCTACCTGGTTACAGTCCATGTACCCATTGCACTACTGACCGCACGTCCAACAAAGTATCCTGGGTGCTCAGTAGTCGACGGATGGCCACCGTCAAAGACTGCTACCTCTCTGCTAATTTTCAGCTGTCAAATACGGGATCGCTATTTAGCGCTCCCGTATTTGCATGTAACGGCTTCATTCTTTCATTAATGAAAGAAAGAAGCTTTTACAAAAGCTTAACTATTTCATTAATGAATGCCTCAATACTGAAGCATTCATTAATGACTGGTAACTGCTGAGAATCAGCGGTTACCGACATTACAAAGCCTGATATAACTCGTCACGTACAGTGTACGTCATATAGGCACTTCGTGACGGGACGTACAATGTATGTCTCCCGTCACGAAGGGGTTAATGATCGGGTGAGGGCTGCTGCATGTAAATGCCTGCACATCGCAATTAACCATATGTGAAAGGATTACATGCAGTTAGGAATCAATCACTCTCCCTGGATACACAATTGTTTATCCAGGGATAGTGATTGTTTTTGTAACTGCATGTAATCATATCACATACAATTACATGCGGTATGCAGCCATGTACATGCAGCGGCTGTCACCTGATCATTAACTTGAATGGCTGACAATTGCTGCATGTAAACGCCAGATTAGGGATTCCTGCTGCAGAAAAACGCAAGTTTGTGACACAGGAATCCCTAATCGCACCTGAAATATAGGGGACCCCCCATTCCAAATCCCACCTCACATATAATACACTCCCCCACACAAACATAATACACTTCACCCCCCCCTTTCCAAGCCCCCCACACACATTTAATACACTGCCCCCAGCACATATAATAAACTTCCCCACTCCCTCCCAAGCCCCGAGAACACATTCAGGAATAGGTTGTCTGACAGTGAGAGCAGAGCGGCATTTACTGCATGTACTGCATTTACTGCTCTCATGACAGCTGGTATACATCAGGAAATACTGATGTATACCGGCTTTTTTTTCTAAACTTTCAGCAAAAGAAACATTTAGATACATGTTTTTATTGCTGATACAATGTTGCAGGCTTTCTGATCGTTGTTGGAATGGTCAGAAAACCTTCAGTGACATCTGATCCTAAAATGCTGCAGGATCAGTGTCACTAAGGTTGTTATTGGCTGTTCTTAAGTTGGAAGCAGCCTAATAGTAACCAAAAATGTATTAATTAAATTATCAAGCAGCGATAGTGAGATTAATTCACAATGAGTGCTTGATAAAATTAAATAAATTAAAAAAATTAAAAAATGTTTAAGAAAATAGTGAAAAGTGTAAAAACAATAAAATATAGTGTATAAAAAATAAATGTAACATAAGAATTATGTATTTAAATACATTTTTATACTATCATTAATCTAAAAATAACCCATTACAATGAAAAACCTGAGCTGCAGATTTTTTTTCACCCTAAAAAGTTAATTTGTTTATTAATCCTCTCATGACTGTGATGTTCAAAATATGTCCCTGCCACTAAGTGTGACACTTAATGACAGTGACCTTGTATACCAGGTGACCACTTTTAGCTTTAGCTTTTAGAGAAAAAAATATTAAAATTTTAGGTTTTACTTTTAGGCTGAGAAGTACAGAAAAAAATTCTAAAATCCTAGGGATGTAAGGTTTTTCAAAATGACAAATACATTTTTGTATTTAATGCATTTTTTTTAGCTGTGCTATTTTTGTAAAAAATACTACAAATCAAAGCTGGGGAAAAACTGTTTTATTTATGTTTTTTTTCTTTTTTATGCGTTTGTTTATGCGTACATTAAAACACGCATAAATGCGGAAACAAAAATCAGAATCTGCTACATGAGCTTAATTGCCATGTTCATAATGTGTTCAGGGCCCATTGAACTCAATGGGGATACACAGCAAAGGCAGCGCACAAACGTGAAAAATGTGATGAGCATTCATGGAAAGGGCAGGTGTGAACGCAGGGTAATGGAAGTAGATTCTTGCATCTCCTAGAAACTATAGAGGTGAGATCTCTGAGCCTTTAGGTTTGTGCACTGGGGGCAGGCAATATACTCTTTCTGTTCAGTATGTTTCGGACAAGGCTGCAGGAGGAGTGGGCATACCTACTGTGTGCCAGAAAAAATAACCTACAAGGTGTTGGAAAGAGTTAGTACCTATTGTTGGTAGGTCACACCAATGGAAAACCCAAGAGATATAAGAAACCAGAAGATTGGTTAAGCCCGCTAGAATGCATGTTTAACTGAAATATTTTTGGGGGGCTCACTAACCCTTTCACTAACCTATTAAAGCCTCATAAAAATAAAGAATGGTTCCATGTGTTTACAGAACAAAATCTTCTCAGCATGAGGACATTTTACAATTTTTGTTAGCAAATATTGTTATTTTATAAGATTTAGTTGTACCTCTGGATATGATGGCCATTATTGATCTTTATTTACAATCTAATTTGCTTCATGTAATTCAGTTGTTGAGGTTCACAACCTCTCAGCTCTGATGGCTTCATACTTTCGCTGTGAAAGACAATGCTTCATAACGCATAAGATTTATCACTGCCTCTTATCTTTCAGATGTCTGAAATGTGCAGATGCTCCTTGTCAAAAGAGCTGCCCAACCAACCTAGATATCAAGTCATTCATCACAAGCATTGCAAATAAGGTAAATTATATATGTATGGGCTGCAGATGTTTAAATACTTTCAGTAGGAAACAATACGGAAAGTATATTGTACATAATGGACAATGCTAGGAGTGTGACAAAAACTACAGAAGTGTTTTTTTTTATATGGCTTTGTTATTAGTGTCCCATAAAAAACTGCCAAAAGAGTATATAATTACACATTTTGAATTATTGCAGCAGATTCATAAAAACTGTAGGAAAGGAATATAAAATCAGAGTGGCTGTCCCTGAGGACCGGTTATAGTTCTTGTTTTACAATAAAATATAAAGTCATTGGCTGTTTACAGCAACATTTTTATGCTCTTTTTTGTTCTCTTTACTCCAGTTTTAATGCATCAATCCTGTTAATGTAAAGCAAGTATTTTAAAAAGTTTATACTTTTTTACATGTCTTACAATTTTTTTTATAAATATAGTTTTTTTTATAAATATAGTTATCTAAATAATGTGTCTATTCCTCTCCTTATGTTTTTCACACATGAAAAAGGAGGTTGCACAAGCCTGTGACTGCATGTAACACAGATCATCAGTTAGCCCTTTGCAAATTCCTATAGACTGAAAGCGTATGTCAAGGCACAATCAGTTTTTGTCAGTGCCAATAGTGCATTCCACAATGTGCACGTGTCCCCATTTGCCTATTTCTCTTTTATCCCCAACTTCTTGTTGTTTCTGCAGTACACCCCTTTCTGCAACACTTTACAAAAGTACTTCTCAGTCTCCACCCTCCTCCCACTGTGCCTACCCATAGGTCAGCTGGGTGATGTAGTCATGCTTCACATCTCCCACAGTCCTGCAATAAGAGCTAGCAGGGAGAAGGATGACGCCTCCTAGTGATGTGGACCCACCAGCCTGTAAGAACAGATAGGAAACAGAGGCTTAACAGTCACATAACCACATTAGGTATATAGCGCCACCATTTTTTGGACTATCCATGTATTTCACTTGCATGTGTTTATATGATATTCCTATGCATACTATATACTTTACTGCACCATTTAATTTTCAGTGTAAATCCACTGAATACATTTTACATAAAGTACATCAAAACAAAAGGTGGGCAAAGACTTAGTTTATTTTATTTCAAAAACTTCTACAGTCTGAGAAGTAAAACTCTTTGTGTAGAATCAGTGGTCTCTCTGCATAGGTCTGACAGGCCTCCTGCTTAGTCACACCTATAGCTCTGCATTTAGCAAACCCCATGCTGCGGCCATTTGAAGAGCTCCACCTCTGTCTCATCCAAATGTAATTCCGCCATCCATCTCTCTCCCCCACACATTTACACATGAAAAAAAATTATGTGTGAGGACTCTTGTGATGAGGGGTATGACTGTTGCAGCATGGACACTACAGTGTGGGTACATAAAGGAACATTTTCAGGAGAAAAGGGTATTTTTAAAGCATTTTAAGCAAATAGTTATACATTTTAACATGCAGGGTTAAAGGACTATAAAGGGATAAAAACTAAATAATGTGTCTATTCCTCTCCTTATGTTTTTCACACATGAAAAAGGAGGTTGCACAAGCCTGTGACTGCATGTAACACAGATCATCAGTTAGCCCTTTGCAAATTCCTATAGACTGAAAGCGTATGTCAAGGCACAATCAGTTTTTGTCAGTGCCAATAGTGCATTCCACAATGTGCACGTGTCCCCATTTGCCTATTTCTCTTTTATCCCCAACTTCTTGTTGTTTCTGCAGTACACCCCTTTCTGCAACACTTTACAAAAGTACTTCTCAGTCTCCACCCTCCTCCCACTGTGCCTACCCATAGGTCAGCTGGGTGATGTAGTCATGCTTCACATCTCCCACAGTCCTGCAATAAGAGCTAGCAGGGAGAAGGATGACGCCTCCTAGTGATGTGGACCCACCAGCCTGTAAGAACAGATAGGAAACAGAGGCTTAACAGTCACATAACCACATTAGGTATATAGCGCCACCATTTTTTGGACTATCCATGTATTTCACTTGCATGTGTTTATATGATATTCCTATGCATACTATATACTTTACTGCACCATTTAATTTTCAGTGTAAATCCACTGAATACATTTTACATAAAGTACATCAAAACAAAAGGTGGGCAAAGACTTAGTTTATTTTATTTCAAAAACTTCTACAGTCTGAGAAGTAAAACTCTTTGTGTAGAATCAGTGGTCTCTCTGCATAGGTCTGACAGGCCTCCTGCTTAGTCACACCTATAGCTCTGCATTTAGCAAACCCCATGCTGCGGCCATTTGAAGAGCTCCACCTCTGTCTCATCCAAATGTAATTCCGCCATCCATCTCTCTCCCCCACACATTTACACATGAAAAAAAATTATGTGTGAGGACTCTTGTGATGAGGGGTATGACTGTTGCAGCATGGACACTACAGTGTGGGTACATAAAGGAACATTTTCAGGAGAAAAGGGTATTTTTAAAGCATTTTAAGCAAATAGTTATACATTTTAACATGCAGGGTTAAAGGACTATAAAGGGATACAAAGCTTTGAGAGTTCAATTGGTGTTTACCTTAAATAAAATGTATTTGCAGAGATCTATTTAGGCACACTAGAAGCTATTTTGAGTATAAGTTGGACTGGAGGTTCCAGGATAGGGTGGCTATAGTATAGCATGAGTTTAGATTATGGGGTTAACTTTTACTTCTCTTTAATTGTATATCATGACAAGGTATAGTCCACTTTATAGATCATGTTAATATACACATTTTTAGGGTGTAACATCAAGCATGGTCACATACACCACCAGCTCTAAACCCAAACCACCCCTCCTTACTTGAATCGCAAGGTAATGTAGATTGTTATTTTTTTTGTTAAATTAGGAGCTGCTGTGCATGGCTTCTCTTGCACAGCTGCATCATCTCTTCATGTCAATCCATCAATGAAGATACTTGCCACATCAGCAGGGGGAATGAGCAGAGCGTGCCAGCAGCAGAGTGGTGATATCACCAAGCATATAGTTCATACTTTCTACAGCCACATAACAAAAAGTCTGTTTCTCTGCAAATACCTGGGGTTGGGCTAAACAATGCAAGAGCCTGTTCGTTGCACATCTCAAAGAAGTGAGCGCAGTTGCAATGCTCTGTAAACCTGATTAAATGCACGCTTATTTTATTCAATGTTGGTGCAGTTATAGTTGTTTTTCCAAAATATAAGCTATGTCTTTAATACCCATATGCACTTTCTTTGGAGACAAGTTGCCGCTAAATACTAAGACTATGGAAGGTTTATATCCATATAGTTTGACTTCTGCCACTTGAGGCAACAATATACTGTACAACTCTCTTAAATACACCATGGAATTTGGTTTGTTGCTCAGCTGAAATTTTCATGCTCTTGTTAAAATAAATCTGTTACATTGCAATTTTGGCCTGGCCTGTTGTCCCAGTCCTGGATTGAAATCACAGAGACTTGATATAGTACATCGTCCATATTAACACAAGACACCTCTTGAGGTCCATACAGCTCTTTCACATTTAATAGCATCACAGGTTGCAAGGTAGTCTTCTCATTTGAGTGGCACATCAGCCATGAAAAAAAAAAACAAAACAGGTGATGCTCACTGCTGGAGTCCTTTGATCTAGCACACAACATTTTCTGACAGCTTTGAAAAGTTCAGTTCAGTTTCTGAATGGCTTACTGTGTAAAAGACATGCAGTTTGCGCCAGTATGAAGCCGCTGAAGTTAAGCTTAGCTTAGACTGACTAATCATTTAATTTTGTAGAGATAAAGTACATCTGTTAATTTTGGGTTGCTCCATTATTTTGCTGTAACCTATTCTGGTAAAATTGAATGTACATTTGATGATAAAGTACATCAATTGTTTGTATATATTTTTGGACAAACAATCCATGATTCTTTGTGTAACCATGCCACAGTTTAGCATTTCATATAAAGATTAAACTTGTTGACATCCTGTTTTATTCTATTAACTGAAGGTAGCACAGAACTCAATCAGTACTCACAGCAAGTGCACCTTTTTCTATCTTACATATACTATACATAGTCAACCTAAATAAGCACTGTGCCATGCCTGACACATCACTTACGTTTCTTAGAATGAGAGGAGGGATACATTGTAGCCCAAAGAACAACGGGACATGGCACATCTCTGCTATACCCCATTACACAGACCATACAAAATTACAGTTCTAAAAATGATTGGTTAAATCATTTAAAAAACAAGTGTTTTTTACTACCACTTTTCTTTTTTTACTGGCTTTCCAAAATAACAAACTCAATAAGTTTAAAGGGTTGGGTGAAAGGACAATTGATTTATGTATGAAGAGAACCCCCACCTTTCATCTGTGCTAGAACACCTTAATAGTGGCATCAGGAAGGTGCAGCTCTGACTGTGTCAGAGTGTCAGAGGAAATTTTTTATGTTTCACTGATTTATTAATTAATTGGTAATAGTCATTCAATATAACCCCCTTTCCCAATAAACACATACACATTTATTCAACTAATATATGCTGCAAATGTGTTAAGCTTCACATGATGATTTATAATGAACATCATCTCCTTATGTTGTAAGATACACAATGCTATACCTATTAGAAACATGTATTGGTGCAATTAAATGCATCTGATGACAGAAGTAAGGTCTTTCCTCCAGTCATATTGTTAGGTACCTGGTATGGAGACCGAAGGTAGGAGGAGGCTCCTCTTGCTCCTCATGTCTTGTGGCCTTTGATATTGGGGACAAAGGCCAGGCAGACAATGAGTGGCACGAGTGCTTTGGGTATTTCCAGTAATCGATGTCAAACAAGCCGGGGTCAATAGCCAGGAGATCCGATGCGGTACAGAAGGGAGCAGGCAGAAGAATATCCAGGAAACAGTCCGAGGTCAATAAGGCAGGCAGCAAAACAGGAACAGGTCAAAAGCCAGGGAGTTCAGGAGTATACAGGATCAGGCAAAACAGGATACACGGAGCACACACAAACTGGAAAGACAAACCAGCAACTAGTGGGCGTTTGAGCTGGGTTTAAATAGGGCAGTGAATCTATCTATGACGTCACTTCCTGTGCGCCACTTGGCGCGTATTTCCGCACGTCACTTCCGACTGCGCAT